TTTTTAGATATATGCAATTTTTCATGAAATTGGATAAAATATGCAAAAAATGCATAGATATGCACTTTGCATATTTTCCGCCCTCTACTAATGACTAATTTTCGCTGACCGCACGCAGCATCCCGCTTTTGTCTGTTTGCAACCTCCGCGTTGATGGTGGTTGCAATAATTTTGGCTGAAAATGCGCTGGTGCACAAAGGCCCCAGCTACCAACACAAATGTGTCATACAAGATAGTGTTACCCTGGCCTAATGAAAGGACAGCTGGCAATCAACATCTCAAGAGATCCTAAGGCGACCCAATTAACAAATTGAAAGATCTAGTTAAAGGAGGAGAAGAAGAAGAGGAAAATGCACACAACATTGGAAGCCTTTGCTTAGGCATGGTTGGTAACACTGTGTTGAGTTCGGCTTTTGAGTTGTTGCCGCTCTGCGCGCTAATGGGTTCTAACTCACTCCGCCGCACTTTAAATTACGCTCAGCATTTAACCCAGGAGCAGATTAGAGCTTTATGTTTTCCAGAACTGGCATTTTAATAGCTAAGAAAAGGACATCATATTTTTTTAAGTAACGTTTTTTCAAGTAGGATTGCACGGCTCAGTTATTGCTCCGGTGCGTGATGTTGGAAACAATTGGAAAGTTAGCTCACAGTGTGAATTTGTTACCGAATGAGCTATTGGTTACCCACTTCATAATAAATTCAACTTGAAGTCATACTTCAAATAAAATGCAAAATTTCAATATGATATACAAGATTTGGCCAAAGTGTTGTTGATTATGCCACTTTTTCGCCCACTTCTCAGCAGCACAGGATAGAGCATTAAATGGCACATTCTGACTAATTAAGGCATGAGTTCTGGGGCTAGCTCGTGATGCAATAGGACAGAGGAGATTGAAAAAAAATAACACAAAAAGAACGAATATGATCATAACCACCAGACGATAATAAAATTAAGCTCCAATGTAAATTTTGATTAAGTCTTGAATCGGAACTTTTAAAGGACATTTTTAATTATGTCAAATTTCGTTGGTTTCTATCATCGCTTGGAAGTCGAGTAACACTTTCACTTTAAAGTGATTTTTTGTTTAGTCCATATTTTTATAAAAACAAAATACATTCCGTTATTAAATTTAGTTTTTGCGTTGCGCATTAATCGCTGCGACTGGCTCTAAATTTAAAATAAATTTAATGATTGGTGGGCGTTTGGAGCTTTGTTAATTTTCGTGATGGAACGTTAGTTTTGTCTTTGGAAATATTACCATGCAAACAGGCCTTCTCTACAAAAATTTCAACAATAAATGAACTGAAATAGAGCTGCTAAGTAAAGCATCGAAAGGACAAACAAGCAAAAAAAGGTTATATAATCATTTTTATTCTCTAGTTTTGTTTCGACAAGATGTATAAATATTCTGTTTGCTACCGACAGTGGACAAAATTGGTCGATAGTTCTTTGTGTCGTGTGTAACTAGGCGTCTAATCAAAGTGGTTTGCCACAACTAAAGTTCATTCCAACTAATATTTAGTAAGCGCATAGGATTAAACGTAGTTGACTATTTGTATGTCCGCATCAGCATCATGTAAGAGTAAGCAGCTTTGATTACCTACAAGTTCTGAATATAAAAACCTGAAAGCTTTCAATTTGGGCACCTACTGAGATAACGGATTCAACAGTCATCGGGCCAAAAGGTCCAATAGAAATCACTGAAACATGCTGATATTGCATAAGCATCATAAGGAACATTTTCCTATTTTTG